ATCATCAATTCGTACATGCCATGGGTGGCCAGGATATTCAATGCTAACATCTCTTTGTAGTCAAAACTGTCAGTCAAAAATTGTCTGTAAAATTCAAAGTTTGCATGACTTACGAAAACAAATAAACAAAAGTCATTGTTAATAACATACCCCCAGTAGTCGCCATTAGAATTAGGGAGAATGTTATTCTTGCCAAAAATTAAGTAATATGGACAAAAAGCATAGTGAATAATTGACTAGTCTAGTATCAATAGAAATTAGATGTATCAGGGTTAATAGGATTCTTCCAAAATATATGGTCAGAAATTAAACAGGATACACAATGTATGCCATTCATGCATTTTTTGTATCCAAACTGAATTTCATTTGTCCAGGTTCATGTACAGAGATATTATATTAGTATGGTCAAAAAGCAAGATTGCAGGCAGTCAACTATCTTTGATCCGATTGTGAAACTAATTGTCATGGATATGTATCAGAACATGTATAATTTAAAGATAAACAAGCAGCCTCTCGGCTGAGATAGCTCCGCTGTTAGCCATGCACATTTCAGTTAAAGAACAGAAGATATCATTAGAAAATGAACAATATGTATAGTATCGAAACAATCAGACTTGCAGTTTTCAACAAGAAATGGAAAATATCACTTTTTACCAAAAATGACAAAAATATTCACCAAAACTAGAGAAATAAAGATATCATTACAAAATGAAAAATCTGAAAGAGGTCCACATGTAGTACCTATATATGTAATATCAAAGCAATTGCACTTTTAAACAAGAAGTTGAAAATATCACTTTTTACCAAAAATGTCAAAAATATTCACCAAAATCAGAGAATTGAAGATATCATCATGAAAATCTAAGAGAGGTCTACCCAAGGTACATATACACCAAGTATCAAAGCATTCAGGCTTGTAGTTTTCAAGAGGAAGTCGAAAAAGTAAAACATTGACACGGATGACGACGACGGACAATCACTCATATGATAAGCTCCGCTCGACAAAGTCAACAGCGGAGCTTATGTCAGCGATACATGTCAGCGTGTCACACATGTCAGCGATACATTTTGAAAAAACAAGATGTCTGCCAGTTGGCCATTTTGGATTTGAACACAATACAAATCATCATGGATATGTATCTCAACATATATAATATTTCTATCAACAACAAATCCTGTCCAAGATACCACATATTCCAGAAAACCAGAAGGATGCCAGTTGACCATTTTTGATCAGATTATGAAACAAGCTGACATGAACATGTATCCTAAGGAAGACTGTGAATGTAAGAGGAAGGAAGACTGTGCAGGTAACACATTGTTATGTGAGGTAGGGAGACTGGTGGACTCCTTCATGCATGATGTATGTGCCAAATATGAATGAAAATGGTCTGGAAGATATAGTAGTATAGTATGTGAAACAAATTGTGCAATGTATATATAACAAATTTGAATGAAAATGACAAACCAGTGTCCATGATACAACATTTCAGAAAAACCAGATGGCTGCCAATCGGCCATCTTGGATTGAATCAGTAAACCACTGCATGTGTACATGCAAAGAATGAACAGATTTGGTCCACAGGGTATTGAAATATGACTCCAGAGTCCAAATTATAACTTCGTTTGAACAGATACTAATATTGCTAGGTTACTCTGACAACATACTGAAATTAAACATATCACTAAATAGTCTAAATGTTGGTGATTGTTTTTACCGTTTTGATGGTATTCTCAAGTAGTTCTCACATTTCACACATATTTATAGCATGGCACATTTCACACATATTCATATTATGAAGATTGCAGACGTATTCATAGCATATAGTCATGAAACATTTCACACATATTTATAGCATGAAACATTTCACACATATTTATAGCATGAAACATTTCACACATATTTATAGCATGAAACATTTCACACATATTTATAGCATGAAATATTTCACACATATTTATAGCATGAAATATTCCACATATTTATAGCATGAAATATTTCGCACATATTCATAGCATGAAATATTTCACATATTCATAGCATGAAATATTTCACACATATTTATAGCATGAAACATTTCACACATATTTATAGCATGAAATATTTCACACATATTTATAGCATGAAATATTCCACATATTTATAGCATGAAATATTTCGCACATATTCATAGCATGAAATATTTCACATATTCATAGCATGAAATATTTCACATATATTTATAGCATGAAACATTTCACACATATTTATAGCATGAAATATTTCACAAATATTCATAGCATGAAATTTTCACACATATTCATAGCATGAAATATTTCACACATATTAATAGCATGAAATATTTCACACATATTTATAGCATGAAATATTTCACACATATTTATAGCATGAAATGTTTCACACATATTCATAGCATGAAACATTTCACACATATTCATAACATGAAATATTTCACACATATTCATAGCATGAAACATTTCACACATATTCATGGCATGAAATATTTCACACATATTTATAGCATGAACTATTTCACACATATTCATAGCATGAAACATTTCACACATATTTATAGCATGAAATAATGTATGTCACATAATATTCACAGACCTCAATAATGGAACAACTTTATTAGCAGACTTAATTTAATTCAAATACTTACCTGAATTGCATTTCTAGATTTTTATCCTTGGTTTCCACTATTTGCTGTACATAGCAATGTAAGACTAGATTGGAGAGTTCCTTTCTCTCGTTTGGTAGTAGTTCAGCTGGTTTACTAAGAACAACTTTAAGATGGGTCAAAATCTCTTTCATTCTCCCATACTTTGCAAAGCTAGCTATCCACTTCATGTTATCACACTGTGTACAAAAAAGAACCAAGAAATTGCACTACATAATCACCAGGAGTTCTTAAATTGAAGAAATATAAAAGTTTGAACATTAACAGTCAGTACATGTCGAGGTATGGCTCCAGATCTGCATTCATTAAAACAAAAAGGCCATTAGTAGGCCATTTTGAATCTGATCTGAAACAAGTGACAAGACAGTTAAATAGCTTCGTTGTTCTTCAAGAACATTGTGGTAGTGAAGTTGAGAACAAATTGTTCACAAAAAAATAGTAAATATCAAAGCAATCAGGTTGACACTGTTCAAGAAGTATTCAAAAATGGCAAAAATAGAGAATTAAAGATATCGTCATGAAATGAACAAATCTGATTGTGCTAGTAGTTTTCAAGAAAACGAAAATTGTTGAAAGATGGACGACAGACGGACGACAACAGAGAATCACCTATATGAACAGCTCATTTACAATTACAGCGAACCTTAAAAACAAAATGTGCGTCAAAGTCACATAATATCTGATGTTTGAATCGAATTCTTCAATACTAATCTGTACCATTTGGCCATTTTAATAAATGAGCATAAGTGTGACGTGATGTGTGATGTATATATAAAGTTAAAAAACAGATGTTCAAGGTATATACCTCCTCATATATCTATTTACCTCACTAAGTACCTCTCTAACGACTTTACTTCCAATTCTGTCAATTTAAGTAACTTACCAGAACATAATTGTCCATTATGACTTGCATGTACCAGTGGTGGTCAATATATATTATGTGCTTGACTGTATAAATTAAAAAAAAACACAAATCCGAGCCAGTACATACTTTATCAGACATACCTTTGAGAGACTGAAGAGTTTCATGGCTTGTATAAACTCTCCTTTCTTAAGCCTGAGTTTAGCAGCTGCTTCATAGAGTGTATTGATGTCTAGACCAAGTACAATTCCAAGTCTATCAGCTATAGAAGAATCATTGTGCTGTACAGCCAACTGAAGAAATAACTTCTCAGGAGAGATTCTGTGAATGTAAGAGGAAGGAAAACTGTGAATGTAAGAGGAAGGAAGACAGTGAATGTAAGAGGAGAAAAGACTCTGTGAATGTAAGAGGCAGTAAGACTTAGTGAATGCTAGAGGTGGTAGGAAGACTGTTTATGTAAGATAAAGGAAGACTCTGAATGCGAGAGGAAAGAAAATAGTGAATGTAAGAGGAAAGAAAATAGTGAATGTAAGAGCAAAGAAAAACTCTGTGAATGTAAGAGGGAGAAAGCGACTGTGAAAGTAAGAGGAAGGAAGACTGTGAATGTAAGAAGAAGGAAGACTGTGAATGTAAGAAAAGGGAAGACTGAGAGAAAGGAAGAGTGTGAATGTAAGATAAAGGAAGAGTGTGAATGTAAGAGAAATGAAGACTGAGAGGAAGGAAGACTGTGAATGTAAGAGGAAGGAAGACTGTGAATGTAAGAGGAAGGAAGACTGTGAATGTAAGAGGAAGGAAGAGTGTGAATGTAAGAGGAAGGAAGACTGTGAATGTAGGAGGAAGGAAGAGTGTGAATGTAGAAAAAAGGAAAAAACTCTGTGAATGTAAAAGGGAGAAAGTGACTGTGAAAGTAAGAGGAAGGAAGACTGTGAATGTAAGAAGAAGGAAGACTGAGAGAAAGGAAGAGTGTGAATGTAAGAGGAAGGAAGACTGTGAATGTAAGAAGAAGGAAGACTGAGAGGAAGGAAGACTGTGAATGTAAGAGGAAGGAAGACTGTGAATGTAAGAGGAAGGAAGAGTGTGAATGTAAGAGGAAGGAAGACTGTGAATGTAGGAGGAAGGAAGAGTGTGAATGTAGGAGAAAGGAAGAGTGTGAATGTAAGAGGAAGGAAGAGTGTGAATGTAAGAGGAAGGAAGACTGAATGTAAGAAGAAGGAAGACTGAGAGGAAAGAAGAGTGTGAATGTAGGAGGAAGGAAGAGTGTGAATGTAGGAGGAAGGAAGACTCTGTGAATGTAAGAGAAAGGAAGACTTTGTGAATGCAGGAGGAAGGAAGAGTGTGAATGTAAGAGGAAGGAAGACTGTGAATGTAAGAAGAAGGAAGACTGAGAGGAAGGAAGAATGTGAATGTAAGAGGAAGGAAGACTGTGAATGAAAGAGGAAGGAAGAGTGTGAATGTAAGAGGAAGGAAGACTGTGAATGTAGGAGGAAGGAAGAGTGTGAATGTAGGAGAAAGGAAGACTCTGTGAATGTAGGAGAAAGGAAGACTCTGTGAATGTAAGAGAAAGGAAGACTGAATGTAAGAAGAAGGAAGACTCTGTGAATGTAAGAGGAAGGAAGAGTGTGAATGTAAGAGGAAGGAAGACTGTGAATGTAGAAGGAAGGAAGAGTGTGAATGTAGAAGAAAGGAAAAAACTCTGTGAATGCAAGAGGGAGAAAGCGACTGTGAAAGTAAGAGGAAGGAAGACTGTGAAAGAAAGAGGAAGGAAGACTGTGAATGTAAGAAGAAGGAAGACTGAGAGAAAGGAAGAGTGTGAATGTAAGAGGAAGGAAGACTGTGAATGTAAGAAGAAGGAAGACTGAGAGGAAGGAAGACTGTGAATGTAAGAGGAAGAGTGTGAATGTAAGAGGAAGGAAGACTGCGAATGTAGGAGGAAGGAAGAGTGTGAATGTAGGAGAAAGGAAGACTGTGAATGTAAGAGGAAGGAAGACTGAATGTAAGAGGAAGGAAGACTGAATGTAAGAAGAAGGAAGACTGAGAAGAAAGAAGAGTGTGAATGTAGGAGGAAGGAAGACTCTGTGAATGTAAGAGGAAAGAAGACTTTGTGAATGTAGGAGGAAGGAAGAGTGTGAATGTAAGAGGAAGGGAGACTGTGAATGTAAGAAGAAGGAAGACTGAGAGGAAAGAAGAGTGTGAATGTAAGAGGAAGGAAGACTGTGAATGTAAGAGGAAAGAAGAGTGTGAATGTAAGAGGAAAGAAGAATGTGAATGTAAGAGGAAGGAAGACTGTGAATGTAAGAGGAAGGAAGAGTGTGAATGTAAGAGGAAGGAAGACTGTGAATGTAGGAGGAAGGAAGAGTGTGAATGTAGGAGAAAGGAAGACTCTGTGAATGTAGGAGAAAGGAAGACTCTGTGAATGTAAGAGAAAGGAAGACTGAATGTAAGAAGAAGGAAGACTGAGAGGAAAGAAGAGTGTGAATGTAGGAGGAAGGAAGAGTGTGAATGTAAAAGGAAGGAAGACTCTGTGAATGTAAGAGGAAGGAAGACTTTGTGAATGTAGGAGGAAGGAAGACTCTGTGAATGTAAGAGGAAGGAAG